ATATATTATTTTCAAAGCATGAAGTTTTATAGGAATAGTTATAAAAAGTTACAAAGTCTAGAGAGAAGAAGGCCTTTCTTTGCAAATCCTGAATGCCCAGGGACAGCTGTATGTGCTGTAGGTCCTTAAATGCTTGTTTATTTATGAATTATGTATTCAGGGTGGGCATCTTCATGCAGTAGATTAGGCTTTGGCTTGGGAAGCCTGCATCCTATATCACGGTGCTAGTTCAATCCTGACTCTTCCACTTCCTATCCACCTTCCTGCTAATGCACCTAGCAAGGCAGAGGATGATGGCTTAAGTACTTGCACCCATGCCACCTATATGGGAGACCTGGATGGAGTTCAAGGCTCCTGGATTTGGCCTGGCATAGCCCCGACCATTTGGAGAATGAACCAGTGGATGGAAAATGTCTTTTTGTCTCTGTCTCTCTCTCCCTCTATTACCCTGCCTTTCAAAGATTTAAAAATAGATCCGTATTTGTTTGTTTTTTAAAAAATCCAACTTGCAGATAATCTATTTATAGACAAAATCAAAGGAATCCTGCCTGACGCCTTCCACCGTTCAATGCTGCACCTTTAAACTTGTTCTTGGTTGTTATTAATCCTCCTTTCCTCTGACCACAGAGGAGAAGACAATTAGATGTTAATATTCAAAGGTAATTCTAGTTCTTCACCTGGTCACTTATCTTTCAATTATTCCCTCTTTATCCTCTATATTAATCTCTTTTCATTGCCATATATCTTCTGCTTGCTCAAAAGCCTTAAAAACAAATGAAAACTTTCTTCTGAAACTTCATCTTCCTTCAGCTGCCAGTCCCCTCTCCAGTTCATAATGGATCAGTGACTTTTTATTCTCCGATGCCTTTAAACCGTGCATCTACACTTTGGCAGTGTGGACATTTTGGGCCTGACAGTTCACTGTTGTTGGCACTGTCCTGTCAGGTGGTTAGCAGCACCTTTGGTCTTTCCCCAGTAGAAGACAGCAGTGTTCCTCCCACCAGTGGTAACAACCAAAAATGTCTGCTGACCCCTGTGGTAGGGGAACAACACTGACCTGGTCAAGGTTTGACTCCTAACACTGATTATCTGGATGCATGTATAAAGACTGAAATGCCTCAACAACATTTTGTAACCAGGGGATAATGTAGGTGATTTGCTGCCAGAGTGATAGCAAAGAATGTAGTTTCTGAAGAAGCTAGAGTAATGAGATACCCAGTTGTGGATATGAAAGATGTCACTCTGGGGAATACTCAGAGTGCACATTGAGAGATTGTGAGACTTTATGTTATTGGAAATTAACCTGCTACAAAAAACAGGCTGTTGAATTTTCCTTAATTAAGATAACGTCTTTCTGGTTTGATGGGGAATGCCAACAGAACTTGAAGGAAGAGAAACATAACCCTAAAGAGAGAAAGTCATTGCTTCTGAACTAAAGTGAAATTTAAAATGCGATTCATGTAGATAAATATTTTGCATATTCAAATTCAAGTTTAGATCAAACCTTAAAATTTTTAAAATAAATTTTATTTATTTTATTTGAAAAAGAGAGAGAAAAGAGATATTCCATCCAGTGGTTCAATCTCCAAAATGTCCACAAAAGATGGAACTGAGCCAACCTGAACCCAGGAGCCAGGAACTCAATTTGGTTTACTCAAGATGATGGCAGAGACAGAACTACTTGAGCCATCACCTTCTACCTTCCGGGTGCACATTAGCAGGCTTTTGGAATTCAGAGCAGTGCCGGAGTGAAACCCAGACGCTCCAATATGGGAGGCAGCTGTCCCACATGGCATCTTAACTGCAACATCAAATGCCCATCCTCAGCTTCTTAAAAAATATGCTGAGTTTAGATATAGATTATGGAATGATATTTTTATATCAATGCTTTATTATAATTTAATTAAAAAACTTTAACAATAATTGTACATATATATGGGTTCCAGTAACATACATGTATACGATGCTTACTGAACAAATTAAGGTAATCAATATTTCATCCTTTTTTTTTAAAGTTTTTTTTTTTTTTTTATTTGAAAGGCAGAGTTACAGAGAGAGAGAGAGAGAGAGGTGAGGGGTCTTCCATCTGCTGGTTCATTCCCCAGTTGGCAGTGACGACCAGAATTGGGCCAATCCAAAACCAAGAGCCAGGAGCTTCTTCCAGGTCTCCCATGTGGGTACAGGGGCCCAAGCACTTGAACCATCTTCCTCTCCTTTCCCAGGTACATTATCAGGGAACTGGATTGGAAGTGGTGCAGCTGTAACTAGAATCGTGCCTAGGTGGTTTTATTTAGTATGCCACAGTGCCAGCCCTGATCTTTTTTTTTTTTTTTAAGATGTATTTATTTATTTGAAAGAGTGACAGTGAAAGGAGGAGAGCCAGAGAGAGAGAGAGAGAGGGAGAGAGAGAGATTGTCCACTGTCTGATTCATTCCTGAGATGGCCATGATGGCCAGGGTTGAAGCCAAGAGCTTTATCCTGGTGGCAGGGGCCCAAGTTCTTGGGCCATCCTCTGCTGCTTTTCCCAGGCCATTAGCAGGGAGCTGAATTAGAAGTGGAGCAGCTGATACACAAACTGGTACTCATATGGGATACCAGCTTCGTAGACAGAGGCTTTAACCATTATGCTACAACATCGGGTCTCAAAATTTCCTCTTTGGCAGTACTTTATAATTGAAGGATTGATAGTCTGTTCTTTTATTTATTCATAAAATTTATGCTAGATTTCTGTGAGTGACATTCTATAGGACAGAAAGGAAAATATGAGCATTAAACAAAAAATGTCACTTTTTGTTACAGTGAATTTAGTACTGACTTAGGGTAGCACTGGATTCAACACACCAAGTTGTTCCCTTGTGATGGGTAATATAGGAAACTGAATTAGGAAAGTTGACGTGTCTGTTGTGAGACCAGAACTCAAATTGATACCATTGGGGGCTTGACGTCTGTATTTTATTTAAAAATCTTGGCTATGCTGTACAAGCTTTCCCATAACTTTTAAAAAAAGATTTATTAATTTATTTGAAAGTCAGAGCTACAGAGAGGCAGAGGCAGAGAGACAGACACACACACACAGAGAGAGTGAGAGAGAGAGAGAGAGAGATAGAGGTCTTTCATCTGCTGGTTCACTCCCCAGATGGCTGCAATGGCCAGAGCTGTGCCAATCCAAAACCAGGAGCCTGGAGCTTCATCCAGGTATCCCATTCAGGTACAGGGGCCCAAAGGCTTGGACCATCTTCCATTGCTTTCCCAGGTCATAGTAGAGAGCTGGATCAGAAGTGGAGCAGTTGAAACTTGAACTAGTACGCATATTTTCCTATAACTTGAAATCTAATGACATGATGCCCCGAAATTGTTTTAAATAAGGTATTTTTAATTTTTGAGTGCTTGATCTATTTCCAATCCTGGGTTGAAATCCAAGAAATATTGCCTCTTCCCCCATATATTTTGCACAACATAGTAGTGTGATGGTACCAGTTCACCTGGCTTGGAAGAACTGATTTTGCACCACTCCTTCCCATTCTGCATTCAGTGACTTGAGTCAGCCGTGGTTGGAATATTTACACAAAGGAATCAACAGACACCACAAATAAGGCCTCTCTTTTCTTTCCAGAGACCTCTTTTACCAATAGACCATTGAAGATGAATCTTACTGTCCCCATTTTATAGCTGAAATTTAGGCTCAGAGAAATAACTTCCAGAATTAGTTGAGCCTAGAGAGTAATATGGATTCTTGGGAGGCAAGGAATGATATTAATATAGGAAAATTTGTTATTTTTGTACTGAAGTGGTAGATTCCAACTGGATTTAGATTTTTGTCCATAGAAGTTTAAATATCCTTGTGAATTGTATGTTTTCCTTCTTGTTTTTGTTTTTTCTGGGCATAGTGGAGTATAGTGCAAATACTTTGATATTCCTGTGTTTCCTGTGACATCCTCATTGAGGACAAATTGATCATAAGACAGTCACTGAGACCTGGAGTTTGGTGTGTTTTGGAATATTATTTGTCATCACATTTGGCTTTGTAACAAATATAATATTTTCAAAATGTTCTAATCATTTGAATTATTCTATTACTAACCATTTCTATTACCATAAACAAGTTTTCTCAGCTGTACAATATGGAGGATAGGATCAATGGTCAATAAGGCCATGGTCATTTATGCCAGTATTAAAATTTTATGCTTCTAAAAACAAGAGTATATCACATTCTTAAAATACTATTGTGGGGGCCAGTGCTGTGGTGTGTTAGGCTAAGCCTCTGCCTGTGACGCTGGCATTCGATATGAGTGCTGGTTTGTGTCCTGGCTGCTCCACTTCTGTTTCAACTTTCTGCTTATGGCCTGGGAAAACAGTGGAAGATGGCTGAAGTGTTTGGGCCCTTGCAACCACATGGGAGACCCAGAAAAAGCTTCTGACTCCTGGCTTCCGGTTGGCCCAGCTCTTGCTGTTGTGGCCATTTGGGGAGTGAACCAGCAGATGGAAGATCTTTGTCTCTCTGTGTCTGTAACTCTGCTTCTCAAATAAATAAATAAAATCTTTAAGAAAATACTAATGTGTAATAAATTCTAAATAAAGTTATTTTTCACCTAATTTTATTAAAGCATTTTAAAAATTATTTATTTATTTTATTAGAGAGAGGGGTGGGGAGAGAGAAGAGAATTCTCTAGTTCACTCCCCAAACATCTACAACACCTGCAATGACCTCACAGCTAGGCTGGGGGCCAAAGCTGAGAACCAGGAACTCAGTACAGGTCATTGAGTCATTGCCACTGCATCCTGTGGTACTCATTGGCAGGAACTGGAGTCAGGAGCAGAAGCAGGGACTTGACCCCATGCATCAGACCCAGGCATTCTAATATGAGAACTAGGTATCTTAACAGGTGTCTTAACCATTAGGCCAATTGCCCCACTCTAGTCTAATTTTATTGACTATGTAGTTTTAGAGGTGAATTTGGCAATTTTTTTGGTGCCATATGATTTTTATTTTGTTTTACAAGTTTCAGAATCTAAAGCTGAGTGAATTCTACTGTGAGGAAAATCCACTGCTCCTAAAGAAACCGATTGTCACTGTACAACAGGAAGATGTCTGGAGCCTACAGGTGAAGGCTTAGTTCATTCACATACATCTTCAAACTGAAGTCATAATGTAAGTTTTAAATAGTTTGCTTTTAAAGCAGTCTTGCCAAGTTACCAAATGATTAAGGTAACTCTAGTGCATTGGCAATGTGGATCCTACCCATAATCTTTGATTTGCTTACAGTATCCATGTAATTGCATCTGATTTATAGAATGATTAAATGCAGTAAAGTCTGTCTAATATTTTGTTATATACTAGCTACTCACATTAAATTTTAGTTAATAAATCTTTGAGGTTAAAAGCATTTTTAAAAATCTTTACCAAGGAATAGCCTATATCCAAGCCTTATAAATCCCTGAAACCCATGTGATTTAATAAACAGTATTGACCAAATGTATAATAAAAATTGCTATTACTTTAAATAAAACATGAAATGTATAATTTGGGGCCATGATTGTGGTGTGGTGGGTTAAGTCACCACCTTCGATGCCGGCATCCCTTATAAGCATAGTTTCAATTCCAGGCTGCTCCACTTCCAATGCTAATGTCTCAGAAAGCAGCAGGCTTTACTGCATTAGTGGAAGCCAAGCTAAATGCTTTTTATTTGTTTGTTTATTTATTTATTTATTTATTATTTTTAAAGATTTATTTATTTTACTTGAAAGAGTTACACAGAGAGAGAAGGAGAGACAGAGAGACAGAGAGGTCTTCCATCCACTGGTTCACTCCCCAGAGGGCCACAACGGCTGGAGCTGCACCAATCCGAAGTCAGGAGCCAGGATCTTCTTCCAGATCTCCCACACAGGTTCAGGGGCCCAAGGACTTGGGCCATCTTCCACTGCTTTTCCAGGCCATAGCAGAAAGCTGGACGGGAAGTGGAGCAGCCGGGATTCAAACCAGCGCCCATATGGGATGCTGGCACTTTAGGTGGCAGCTTTTACCTGTAACACCACAGTGCCAGCCACTTGTTTACTTTTAAAGATTTATTTATTTATTTGAAAGTCAGAGTTACATAGAGAGAAAAGGAGAGGCAGAGAGAGAGAGAGAGAGAGAGATCTCCCATCTACTGGTTCACTCCTTAGTTGTCCACAACTGCCGGAGCTGCGCCTATTGAAAGCCAGAAACCAGGAGCATCTTCCAGGTCTCCTACATGGATATAAGGGCCCAAGCACTTGGCCATCTTCTACTGCTTTCCCAGGCCATAGCAGAGAGCTGAATTGGAAGAGGAGCAGCTGGGACTAGAACCAGCACCCATGTGGGATGACAGCACTGTAGGAGGTGGCTTTATCTGCTACACCGGAACACCAGCCCCAAGCTAAATGCTTTACCAATGTTATGTAATTTAATTCCCCAAATTTCATGTGATACATTGAAACTCCTATTTTACAGATAAGGTATCCAACATCAAAGGTTAAGGACTTACTCAAATGGGATCACACAGCTAATAAATCATATAGCTAGGATATGAGCTTATATATAACTGAATCTCAGAATCTTTGTTCCTAATACTGTATTTAGTGTCTATCAGACACACAGTAACCATTGACTATACAATAGATCCAAAATTTATTATTTTTTGCAAGGATTTATATTTTTATGCTTGTATAAATAAAACTTATATGTATAATTTCATAATTCAATATAAGGAACTAATTTCTATTTGCAGTGGATAAGAAATACAAATTATCTCTGAACTACATATAGTTGATATTCCAGAAAAATAGCATGTATGCTATTCAAAAGAAATTATTTATTCATAAAAAATTTTCAAAACTGTTTATTATTTGAAAGGCAGAGTGACAAAGAAAGGGTGAGAGAGAGAGAGAGAGAGAGAGACAGAGGGAGATTTATCTTCTGTCTGCTGCTTTGCTCTCCAGATGGCCACAATAGCTGCGGCTGAGCCAGGCTGGAGCCAGGAGCCAGAAATTTCATCCTGGTCTGCCACAAAGTAGCAGAGTCCCATGTGCTTGGTCCATCTTCCAGTACTTTCCCAGGCACATTATCAAGGCACTGAATCAGAAGTGGAGCAGCTGGGATTTGTATGGGCTCTCCAACATGGTATGTTGGAATCATAAGCAATAGCTTAACCTGCTGTGCCATGCCAACCCCATAAAAAGAGTGTTTGATTTTTAAATAACAATGAATTGGCCTTCATTGATTTGTATGTTATCCAAAGGTACATTGAACGTATCTTTAAGAGATGTACTAAATAATGATAAATATTGGTCTTGCCAGCAGTAGTTAACTTTATATACACTCACATTTTCAAATAATAATTTTACTTTATATTTTAGTGGTATATGTTTATTCTTCCAAAGCAACACATTGGCAGCAAATAGGAGAAAAATATAAATAATTGGGGTGATGTAAGAATTGTCAAAAGATACACTGAGTATAATAAATATGTTACGTCTAGACATGATATGTGGAAAAAGTGATCTATAAGAACCCACTTATAGGTTCCACGAGTTTAGCGTTCTTTACCATCTATTTGAAGAGTTGTGTCCTTGAGTATGAGTTTTCTGTAGCTTTCTAGTGAGACCTAGTCATTGAATTCCTACAGCTAAAAGCCTGCCTGCTTAATTCCGTAGAGGAAGGAAGGGTGACAGTAAACATTTAGGATTAGGAGTCCTGGTGAGATCAGTGCTTTCGCCTTCATGTTTTCAGACTACCTCAGTCCTGCAGCTGTCAGGAGAATGAGCTGAAGTGGGTGGGAAGTTGGGCTATTGGATGATCAGACATTTAAGGAACACATGCTTGGGGTTCTTGGCTGTATAAAGGCAGCTTTCTCAGACCCTTGTAAACTGGAAGGGATAGGGTGACAGGAAGTAGGGACATAACAACTGGTAGAATTCTGTTGTTACTTTTAACATTTTTAAAGGATTTAATTGGAGTGAATTATGTTTGTATGCATGTAGGCATTTATGTAAGTAGGTAGGTGGTTATGTTTACTCAAAGATTCCTATTTTAGTCTGATGTAGAGTATTTTAATACCACTGGGAAATCTTTCACTTCAGCCAGACAAAAATGTACTAAATAAACTATCCCCATACACTATTAAAATTTCAAGTAATGTTTGTGAACTTTTGTACAGGACTTTCATGCTAGTGGCATATACAATGAAGGGTATTTAGGAAAGAAGACAATTGCTTTTTTTTGTTTGTTTGCTTGGTCAGTGAGGATTGAATTTTATGTACTATATAATGTATTGTTACTTAAGACGATGACATTGATGGCCCTAGTGAAAGGCAACTTCCACTCCCTCACCACCTCTTTAATTATTTAATATTTGATTATTGCACAAAGGTAAATTTCCAAACATATCTGTGTGAATAGGTTTAACACAAATTGAATTCAGACATTTAAATCATAGGAGTTACTGCTTTTCACCAAGAGAGTGATAGTTAGGTACACAACACAGTAAATAATTAAACATATGTCTTGAACTGAATGTGCATAAAGATTACCTGAGGACCTTGTTAAGATGAGATTTTGATTGAGCAGATTGAGGGTGTATGTTGGGAGTCTTAGAGGAAGTGGACCAGGTTGGAAGGATACCTACTTGGCCTGTTGTGCCAGAGGGTAATCTCCAGGCAGCACACTGCCTGTTTGAGGAAGTTGTGGTCAGCACACTGACACAGACAAACCCCATCTGGCGCAGCTGGAGGAGTACGTGCAGTGCAGTTCACTTCTTGGCCTATGTCCTCTCGAGCTTCAAACACTTCCTCACATAGATTGTTCCACATTCTAACCTGTAGCTTGCCTACCTGCCTAGATACTGCCCACATGTATGTATACATTCCCATCAAATCAAAGTTGCAAACCTGGAATTATAGCCTGTATATAATTCCAAAAAACCAAAAATAAAACAGACATCATTCTCTGAAACAGTCTCGGAGTGGATTTCTCCGTGCCAACAGGCACTTCCATGACAGGTGTATCTGCTAATTTGTGAATAAGCTCCCAGGTGATACAGATTCTGCTGGTCCATGGACCACAATTTAGGTAGTAAGGATTTCGACCTTAATGAATATGACAGACTCAATTTTTGAGTTCCAACTGAGTACATGCATGGTCCTTATTAACTGTCATGAAACATATGAACATACCAAATTTGAACCTAAACTATTCTTTATTTTATAAAATATGTAATATAAATTAATTATAATTAGATTTCTATATATAAATGTTACAATGGAAGTAACTTGTTTTGCTTATATTGATAAAAACCAAACTTACTTACAATGCACATCATTTACAACATATCTATTATGTACACTATGGAATCTTAGTTTAACAGAAACTAAGGAACAAATGAAAATTTTAAATTAGTGAAATGGAAATCATTGTAATATAGAATTTTGAAACTATAAGGAACCATATTCTTTGTTAATTTAGGAAATAGCATCAAGATTTGTAATGAATCAACTGTCAGAAGATAATTCTTTGCTAGCACAAGCTGTAGAATTGTACCCACAGATCAGGAACATAATCTCTCGGGGGAAAAAATGTGCAATATGTGGAAAGTCCTTTTTAACTGTTTGGCTGGAATGTGTTCAATTTTCTCCTCCATCGAAGGTAAATGATGCTTGTGGTATGAATATTAACATAAAAATCTACTCCTACCCTTTATCCTTATATAAGTCAAACAGTACTAACTCTATTGTATCTAAGAATTGAGTTATTGAATTATATAACGTTAACATTGGGTAGACAAATTTGAGTGTCTATAATGAGAAAGATCACCCATTCATTGACATTTATCAACTCCCTCAAATCACATAGAAATTGAATATTTTTGTGGCCCGGGAGTGGAGGATGGCCCAGGTCCTTGGGCCCTGCACCCACATAGGAGACCAAGAGGAAGCATCTGGTTGCTGGCTTCGGATTGGCACAGCGTGCCAGCCATAGCGGCCACTTGTGGGGTGAACCAACAGAAAAAGGAAGACCTTTCTCTCTCACTGTCTAACTCTGCCTGTCCAAAGAAAAAAGAAATTGAATTTTTGATCAGTAAATCACTTTTGTTCATCATTATCGCTAATAAAATCAGAAGTATCTTTGCCAGGAAGAAGTGTGCTTCTGTTATGGAATTTTGGTGGAGAAAAAGTGAATAATCCAGTTAATTTATATTACAACGATGTCCAGCATATTGAATGTGCACAGATGTGTGCCCGTAACATCATGTCTCTCAGGAGTTGTATATTCCCAGGCAGTTCACATAGCCCACAAAATATGTTCTACATTGGTATTATAGATCCACTTTTTCGGTAAATGATTAGATAGTAAATGTTTTAGACAGTGTGGTCCCTGTCACATTGACTCTCTTTGCAGTATGAAAACATTCCTAGATAATATGTAAATGAAGGTGGCTATGTTCCCATAATACTTTATTTATGAACTTTGAAAATTGAATTTCATATGCAATAAATATTTTCTTGAAATTTTTTCAATAATTTAAAAATGTGAAAATAATTCTTAGCTCATAGGACTTATGAAGAGAAGATGGGGGCCAGATTTGGCCTGGGGACTATAGTTTGCCTACATCTGTTCTAGACCATTGAACACATATTCTTTACATCCGGGTGTCTATTCTGCTCTTGTTGAGCATTTGGCCTCCCTTGGAGCAGCAGAGTGCAATGACTTGGCTGGTAATAATGCTAAATAAATCAGTAAAAACAGTATTTTCTGCCATTCTGAATTTTATCATTTGTTGACGGAGGCAAGCATTAAGCAAATAAGCATATATGTAATTACAAGCTGTGAAATTATGATAACAAAAGAGACAAAAAAGAATAGTACATTTAAGGATACCATATTAAAGTACCACAAATTAGATGACTTAGCAAGAAAAATTAATTTTTTCAGTTCTGGAGGCTAGAAGTTCAGTATCAGGTTATGGACAGTGTTGGCTCTTGTTGAGGACTGTGAGGAAGAATCTATCCCATGCCTCTCTCCCGGGCTGGTAGATGGTTCTCTTCTCCCCATGTCTATCCATACCATCTTCCTTCTGTGTCTGTCTGCCTCCAAGTTTCTTCTTCTTAGAAAGACATCAGTCATATTGGATTAAGATCCACCCAAATGACCTCCTTTTGACTTGATCACCTTTGCAAAAGCCCTCCAAAGAGGGTCAGCTTCTGAGGCACTGGAGATGAGGATTTTACCACATGAACTTGGGTGTGTGTGGGGAACACAGTTCAATCCATAACAAATAGGTTCCTCAAACAAGAGGAACAGAAAAACCTTGAAAGAAGGTGGGAGTGAGGGAAGGAGGGAAGATGGGGTGGGGAGTATCATTGTGCTCTTAAAATATATATGAAATACATGAAATTTGTTCTCATTTAATAAATCTGGGATACATCAAGGTGGCCTGTACCAATGCCATCTCACTAGTCAAAGTGATCAGTTTCATTTCATAATTGGTCATAATGATAAGATTAAGAGTCCAAGGGGTCACATAAACAAGACTAGTGTCTACTAATACTAACTGATAGAATTAAAAAGGAGAGAACGATCCAACATGGGAAGCAGGATACACAGCAGACACATAGGATGGCAGATGTCCTAAACAGCACTCTGGCCTCAGAATCAGCCCTTAAGGCATTCGGATCTGGCTAAAAAGCCCATGAGAGTATTTCATTCATGGAATGCCAAGACACTCTGGCAAAAAAATAAAAATAAAAATAAAAATAAAAAAAGACTTAAATGAAAGATCTCTGTGAGTGAGATCCCAGTAGAAAGAATGGCCATCAAAAAAGGAGATACCTTTCTTTGAAGGGAGGAGAGAACTTCCACTTTGATTATGGCCTTGTCTAAGATCAAAGTCAGTGAACTCAAGAAGCTTCCATGCCCTTGGCAACTCATGTCAAGAGCCTCGGATGATTACTGATGCCATAAATAAGAGTTTCAATTGTTAAATCAACAACAGGAGTCACTGTGCTCTTACTCCCCATGTAGGATCTCTGTCCTTTATGTGTTCTACTATGTGAATTAACGGTATAACTAGTACTCAAACAGTACTTTATACTTTGTGTGTCTGTTTGGGTGCAAACTGTTGAAATCTTTACTTAATATATACTGAATTGATCTTCTGTATATAAAGAGAATTGAAAATGAATCTTGATGTGAATGGAATGGAAGAGGGAGCGGGAGATAGGAGGGTTGTGGGTGGGAGAAAAGTTATGGGGGGGAAAAAGCCATTGTAATCCATAAGCTGTACTTTGTAAATTTACACTTCTTAAATAAAAGTTAAAAAACATATGGGCTAAGGAAAGCCCTATTGAGGAAGGATATTTTAACTGACACTGAAAGGAGTTGGTCAGGTGAAGAGCTGGCTCAGAAGTTCCAGGTGGCAGGAAGAGCATGTGTTGGGACTTAGAGGTGGGAAATCACTTTATGGTTTTAGGAACCAAAAGACAGCTTAGTCTGACTGGAGAGTATTAACTGATTGGTAAACTGATGTAGGCTGCAATTGGATTACAAAGCATCAAGTAGTCTTCATTGAGAAATTAGGTCTTTTAAAAATTTTAGCGAAACAATTGAAGCATTTGAGGTAAAATATATCTCAATTTCCACTTTGAAAAGATTCTGAGTGGAGAATGCATTAGAAGAGGGCAGGCAATAAGGAGATTAAAGAGGCTATTGTATTAGACCAGGCAAGAAACTATGCTGGCATTGTTAGAAAAGAGAGATGGGTAGATTTGAGATAAATTTTGGAGGAAGAAGTAATGAGACTTCCAGTTTCTTGGCTTAAAGAATGACATGGATGCACATACTTTTTACTGAAATTAGGATGACTAAGGGAGAAGCAGATTTGTGGGAGAGAGGTGAAAGTTCTGTTTTGGACATGAGATTTCTGCAGGCAGGGATTGATGATCAAAAAGAAGCCATACAGATGGCTTAAACAGCACTCTGGCCTCAGAATCAGCCCCTAAGCCATTTGGATCTGGCTAAAAAGCCCATGAGAGTTTCTCAGGCATGGAAAGCCAAGACATTGTGGCAAAAAACTTACCTAAATGAAAGACCTCTGTGAGTGAGATCCCAGTGGAAAGAATGGCCATCAAAAAAGGAGATACCTTTCTCTGAAGGGAGGAGAGAACTTCCACTTTGATTATGGCCTAGTCTAAATAAGGTCGAAGTTTGTGAACTCAAGAAACTTCCATAGCCTTGGCAACTCATGACAAGAGCCTCAGTTGATTACTGATGTCATAAATAAGTGTGTCAATTGTTAAATCAGCAACAGGAGTCACTGTGCACTTACTCCCCATGTAGGATCTCTGTCCTTAATGTGTTGTACTATGCGAATTAGTGGTAAAACTAGTATTCAAACAGTACTCTATACTTTGTGTGTCTGTGTGGGTGCAAACTGTTGAAATCTTTACTTAGTATATACTAAGTTGATCTTCTGTATATCAAGATAATTGAAAATGAATCTTAATGAAGAATGGGATGGGAGAGGGAGTAGGAGATGGGATGGCTTGTGGCTTGCAGGTGGGAGGGTGGTTATGGGATAAAATCTACTATAATCCAAAAGTTGTACTTTGGAAATTTATATTTATTAAATAAAAGTTAAAAAAAAGAAGAAGCCATAGACTCCTATTTAATCTATAAGGCCTGCTTGGGAATTGAGGATTTAGTGGTATGTTGAGGGGTAGATTTTGCTGGGGAGATAGCTGTATGATCTATGGCTCAATTTCCTTCTCTAAAGACTCCAAATATGAATCCTATAGATCCAGTTTATGGTATCTTTGGAGTCAAGTAGTCTTTCAGCCAATGAAGGGCATGAGTTGCTAATCTGCTTATGTATGTCTTCATTGGATCTTATCACTAGCCACTCATCAAATTTACCTGTGAAAATTTTAAAAAAAGATATCCCTAAATCTATTAAATCAGAATTTGTGGAAGCAGTGCCCTGGGAATTCAAATTTTTATAAATTTCCCCAATTGATTTTCATGCATAGTCAGGACTGGGCATCTCTACTTTGCATGTGTAGGGCTGTCCCCCAACTAAAGGGCAATGTCTATGTCTTAACTGCTAAGCAAGTCTATATAACAGAATCTCAAATCATTGGTTTAATACACATGTTGATAACATCTTTAGTGTTGATGATGTCGAAATGGATAATAGTATCAAAGAAAAGTTAGGGTTGGCTCAGAGATCAGTCCATTGTGGCATACAGACAAATGATAAACACTTTGATACTGCCTTCTCATCATGAAGGCTGAGTGGATCCTTGTTAAAGCTGCTGAAGGGTACATTGTAGAGTTTGTTGTCCATCAATGTGCTTCATCGAATCCATGTACTGGGAAGCTTCCAATTTATTCAGCTAAGTAGAACAAAGGCTCCTGTACACAAGTTTGCTGTGTTCCTGAGTATCTGTGGAGCTGGGATTAGGCCTGTCATAGCCTTGGCTTCCCCCAGGACAGAGGGAGGGCTCATGTGCATGCTGATAATGTATTTTCACCAGCAACATTAGTTGTTATTTCATAGGTTTGCATTTATAACGGCTATGAGATCATCACTACTTATATTTCAGAGCTACGTTATCTTTATCAAATTATCATCATGGGAATTCCTTTCA